TCATTGAAGAATTTTGTTTGGTCATATTGTTTGTTTTTGGAATTTGTTTTGTATCTTCGGTATTCGTTTCTTATATACGTTGGTTCGGGTGGGTTCGAACAATTTTGCAGTTTTTCTGTAAGATTGCTATACATTCAATATATTATCAAATAGGAAGGATTCTAATCAAAAGGATTTCGAGAAATGGTGTGAGCTGATTGGACAATATCAACTGGCATCAGGTGCATCTGAAATAAAAAATGGAATGAATTTCGAATCCATTCGTTATCCGATTCTGAATTATCTAACAAATTTGAAAATGTAATTCATGTCCCCATGGGCTATTATCGCATGATGTAAGGTCATCCAAATGAAATGAATGCATTCGTTAATTTCATTATAACTTTTTTTTTCAGATTCGTTTACATTTGTTTGGAGATTCGTATACATCTGAATCTCTAAAAATGAAATTTTCATCTGATGAACGAATCAAAAGGAAATGCACATGCCTAGTGAGGGTCAAAGAAGAAGGGTGGATCCAAGTCCAGAGCTGAGCTTTAACTTTATTTTATGGGCTAGGTCAGCAATGGGCAAACTACGGCCCGCGGCCGTATACGGCCCGGCGGACCTTTTAATCCGGCCCGCGGAGCGTGGCAAACATTGGCTGTCAGGATGTGTGTAGGCGGGGCAGCGTGACGAACGTGAGGGGAGCTAGGCTCCTCTCACAGTCCGCCCTGAAAACCGGAACGGCGCGGAAACACGGCGAGAGGAACGCGCGGAGCAAAGGTAAGTGAATTGACACAATATGGGGAATGAATTACTATGGGGGGATGAATTACTATATGGGGGATGAATTACTATGGGGGATGAATTACTATGGGGGATGAATTACTATATGGGGGATGAATTACTATGGGGGATGAATTACTATATGGGGGATGAATTACTATGGGGGATGAATTACTATGGGGGATGAATTACTATATGGGGGATGAATTACTATGGGGGATGAATTACTATAGGGGGGGATGAATTACTATGGGGGATGAATTACTTTATGGGGGATGAATTACTATATGGGGGATTAATTACTATAGGGGGGATGAATTACTATATGGGGGATGAATTACTATATGAGGGATGAATTACTATGGGGGATGAATTACTATGGGGGATGAATTACTATATGGGGGATGAATTACTATGGGGGATGAATTACTATATGGGGGATGAATTACTATGGGGGATGAATTACTATGGGGGATGAATTACTATATGGGGGATGAATTACTATGGGGGATGAATTACTATATGGGGGATGAATTACTATGGGGGATGAATTACTATATGGGGGATGAATTACTACGGGGGATGAATTACTATATCTACTCTTGGTCCGGCCCCCGGGTCCAATATATGAACCCATTGCGGCCCTCAAGTCAAAAAGTTTGCCCACCCCTGGGCTAGGTCATACTAGATGCAGCTTTGTTTGTGTTTTTTCTGGATCAAAAATGCAAGAACAATGTTCTCCCTATCTTCCAATGGCCATAGTTCACACCAGTGCTGCGCATTCCAGTGCAGACAAACAAGTAGAACATGTTGTGTTTTTTCTGTATGAATGCATCTGGAACGTGGCAAAATGCATCAAAAATTCACCGGAACGCATAAAAAAAAAGAAACAAAGAGGGGAGAAATAAACTGGAATGCATCAAACACGTACATGCAGAATTGCATCCAGAACACAGAAAATTGTGGTGTGAACCTACTCTAAGACTAAAGTGCCCTTTAAATCTGTGTTTAAAATGAGCTTGGAATGCAAGACTTTACTGATATACCTCATTTAATCTAAGTAAACACACTAGATATTTCACTCAAATGGCATAGAGACAAAACACATGCATTTTTGTTATTCATGCACAGTGAACTGTGTCTTGGCCAATAATAAAATCTGATGTGTGATTTTGAGTGACAAATGAATACTATGCACTGTCAACCTTAAAGTAAATCATTTTATTTGCTGTTGTCATCTGCTGAGCCATTAACTAGATCAGATGTCACAACAGCGCATAGCAAATGGAGTTAAGCAACAGCCTTTGCCATGTTTTATGCAGTTAATGTTTTATAGTATATAGACTAACCAGATTAAAACTTGGAATTATAAAGAAATAAAAAGAATTATAAAGAAATAAAGAGATGTAGTGTTTTTTAAGATCAACTCACCTGATGCGTTGTGCCGAATAAAAAACAGGAAAGGACGTTCAGCTACAAATCTGTGATTGGCCATGCTCATTGCAGCTACCTGCATCCCTGAAAAATGCAGTATTAACAGATTAGCTTTTGTATTCAGTTCTCTAGGCTTAGAGATTCTCAAATTTATTGAAGCTCGTACCTCTTTCAAGCCAGTGTTGTATCCCTTGACCTTACCAGCAACTGCTATATACTATATGTGCAAATGTTTTAGCAGCAAAATGTTCTGCTTTTAAGGCCCCATTCACATCTGTCCGTTTTGTTGCTCAAAGCTCCAAAACACTGAACTTCCAAAACCCTTGTATTTCAATAGTAGCTCACATGTTCAAATGTGAGCTCTTAGGAGCCTGCAGTTTGTTGCCTGATGCTTCAAAAGCTACATAAGCTATTTTTGAGGCAGAATTGGGCATTTTTGGCCCTATAGACTTAAATGGGAATTCAGCCTTTTCACATCTTTTGTTACGTGTTTTTCCATTTATAAGAACTGGAATCCTTCCCTACTGCTTCCCAGTGGTTAAACAAAAATGACAGAAGTTTGAATACACGTATAGTTGCACAAAAAAGTATACGTGAAAATAACTCTGCTCAGTTGTGAATGCAGACTTAAAGTAATAAGAAACCCTTACATATACCTGGTGAAGTGACTAGCCTCAGGTGATACAGAAATCCTCCAACATAAGTTGTACCTGTTTATTTACAGCAATCGCTCCTCCACAACCATTCAAATTACATAATTTACACAGCATTCCTCAACTCCAGAAGGCAGGGGACATGGATCTGATATCACAGCACAGAGTGAAGAGCTGAGTGTAATCTGAGACCTGAGTGGAGGAAAGGAACACCCCACCCCCCTCTGTATAATCTCATAAGGTAAAATGCAAAGCTGAGACTGTCCATCACCTGCTGTGTGCTGGAAAGTGGGGGTGGGGCATCTCCCAGAATTGTCTGGTGTCAGCACAGACTGCCAGAAGTGACTCATGAAGATGGCAGTGCAATGAGAAAGGAGACATAACTCATTCTGGGTCCTTTGGATTGAGGCAAGTACACCATACAAGGAGTGAAAGTACACTATAGAAGGATATACTTTGTTCATTTTTCATTTCAGAAGATTACAACCACTTTAATTAATAAACATCCTTTTGTTATATGTATACAGTAATATTTGCCTATTATTTTACCCTCAGAGACCATCAGAACTACTCTCTAGTGTACACATAGCAATTAAGAACTAGTGGTTCAGGCTATTGACAGTTTGTCACAACTGAATTGAGTAATGGTTTAGATACAGGTGGTCCTGAATGTGGAGGTTTGGTGAGCAAAAGGTGTTAACATCAATTAAAGGTAAAAAAAAAATATGCACATGATTAAAAATGAATTAATTCATAGAAATAGGATAACAAGATCTACATAAGACTTTAACTGGTTAAAAATGTCCGTCTGTCTTCACGATCTAATTAAAATTATGCTACCCACTGAAAGTGTGGAACTTGTATAATTTACACTGTTCTAAACCTCCTTTGGTGCCTTCAAAAGCAAGATCAGCTGGCTGCAAAGATCACCATCTCCTTTCTACATCTGTGCAAAAATTGAATAATTAACTTAAATCAGAATGCATTTTAAGTTACGGTGATGAAACACTCCTAAAGTTCTAATAATTCTTTAAAACCATGAAACTACCAAACTTTATTTATTTCAGGTAATTATATAGCGATGTCAATTTACGCAGCGCTTTACACATATATATATTATACATTCACATCAGTCCCTAACCCTCAAGGGGCGTACAATCTAAGGTCCCTAACTCACATTCATACATACACATATTAGGGCCAATTTAGACAGGATCCAATTAACCTACCAACATGTCTTTGGAGTGTGGGAGGAAACCGGAGTACCTGGAGGAAACCTACGCAGGCACAGGAAGAACATGCCAACTCCAGGCAGGTGGTGCCGTGGCTGGGATTCAAACCAACAACCCTAGTACTGCCAGGCGGAAGTGCTAACAATTTAGCCACTGTGCTGCCCTTTAGAACCACTATCTGTTATACCATGCCCTGAATACAACAGTTTACTAAAATGACTAGGTTGACAATGACCTTTGAAAACATGCAAAATGACTACATCACCTTTTGCTATAGAATACTCTTACCTTAAAGCAGTCTTAAACCCAAAAGCAAACATTTGTTATATTTCAGCTGGTAGGGCAGGTGGGTGGCACTTCCTCCATGTTCCTGTCCTTACTGAGCACAAAGTGTGTGTCACAGAGGAGGTGTACCCTGGGGTGGGTTCTTCTGGGCTATGCTAGGCACCTAATATGGGTCACTCCCCTGCACATAGAGTACCTTTTGCTTGAACAGACTATTAAACTTTAGCAAACTCTTGATGTTAATATACACCACTCCTTCACTCATTACATTTAGGAGGGACACGCATTCACCTGTCCAGCGTATCTCCACTACAGTAGCGGAATGGAACCCCAAAATACACCTAGCGTGGGCTCCATGAATGCACTCACTTACCTCTTCATTTTCCATACCTCTGCACAGAATTGGGACCTCTGCGGTGCTGATCTGCTGTTTTACCAGCTTCCCACCCACCATATAAGGAAATGACGGACGGGCGGCAATTCTCTAGATCATATGATGTCCTCCCACTCTAACTGTATGTGCGCGCCCTCGGGGGCGCACGGCGATCAATGGTGCACTGTGTCCATGGGACACAACGGATCACCAATCACTGTAAAGAGCAGATGACGTCGACTCTCTCATGTGATCAGCTGTGTCCAATCACAGCTGATCACATGTAAACAGAAAATGCCAGCTATCGGCGGTCCTCTCCTCCCGCTGACAGCTTGTGAGGAGAGGAGAGCAAGTAATCGGCATTCCTCAGAGGGGACATCTACACTGATCGTCAGTGCCCTGATGATCAGTGTTTCCCCATCAGTGCCACCTGTCAGTGCCCATCAATGCCACTACTAAGTTCCCATCAATGCCACATATCAGTGCCTATCAGTGCCTCCCAGTGTACATCAGAGCTGCCTTTCAGTGCCGCCTATCAGTGCCAGTCAGTGCTGCCTATCAGTGCCAGTCAGTGTCGCCTATCAGTGTTGCCTATCAGTGCCGCCTATCAGTGTCATATATGAGTACTGTCTTTCAGTGCCCATCAGTGATGCCTGTCAATGCCCATAAGTGATGCCTGTCAATGCCTATCAGTGCCCATCACTGCAGCCTCATTAGCGTACATCAGTGAAGGAGAAAAATTACTTATTTACACGATTTTATAACAGAAACTAAGAAAAACCTTTTTTATCAAAAATTTCAGTCTTTTTTAGTTTGTTTATCAAAAAAAAAAAACTCCAGTGGTGATTAAATACCACCAAAAGAAAGCTTTATCTTTCTAAAAAAAAATGATAAAAATGTTGTTTGGGTACAGTGTTGCATGATCGCGCAATTATCATTCAAACTATGAGAGCTCTGAAAGCTGAAAATTGACCAGGGCAGGAAGGGGGTAAAAGTGCCCTGTAGGCAAGTGGTTAAAGTCCATGTGTGGCAGTGTGCATTCTTGCAGGATCCAACAGCTTGCATCTTCAGGGTGGACTGCAGGTTCTAGCAGTCCCTCTACATGGCTGAAGGCAGGTGACTTTGGGCACAGACCCCGGCAACAGTGGTGACATAGGACCCCAATGGTGACAGCAGCGAGGAATCTCTCCAGGTTCTGGACCACTGTCCCTATATATTAGCACAGGACCCCCGGACCCCAAAAGCCAGTCAAGGGAAAAACTCTGATAACCCTGACCCTCCTGTCTAGGGCAGCACCTATCTAGACTAAATTACAAACTGCCTGCAAGCTTACCAATTCTCTGATGTTATGGCTGCATTAGTTTTCTTTTTTAGGCTTCATTTCCATTATTTTCATCTGGTGATCCAGCCAGTAAGTCTGTTGTTTTTCAAAGTGAACAAGCTCACTTTCAGATGTATTTGTTACAGTGAAGAGAGAAACCATTTACTACTGTCAGGGGTGATTACAATGATCAGCTTTTATTTATTTATGTAAACCCTTTATTTCAAAAGGAAAAACAACTGTTGATGTAATTACTTATAAAGTATTAGCTGGAATTTGGTTTTAATTTGTTAGCTTACCTAAATCTGCTAGTACATTCCTGACATTCCTCCCCCCCCCCCCCCCCCCCCCCCCCACCAAACTGACAATGCTGATGTCCAGAGGTACCCCCTGTGCTCTTTCATCCAGAGTGGGGGCACTCAAATATAAGAGGTGTTTTACTGGCCAGATCACCAGGTGAAAACTGAGGGAAAAAAGACTAAATAAAGAAAATGAATGCAGCCATGACATCTAATGATTGGTAAGCTGCAATGTATTACATTTTTTGTTTTGGGTTTAATACAGCTTTAAAGTAAAACCATGGTAGATTTTACACCTATGTGTTTTCTGTTTTGCAAAATGCACAGCAGTCCATTTAACATGATTTCCTATGGGACAGGTTCACATCTCCATGTTTTCACTTGGTGTATTTTTTGGAAAGGGTCAGGGACTTTTTTTAAATGCAAAACGTTGCGTTTTTGGTTCTATAGACTGCAGAAAAGCATGTAGTGCATTTTTGGCACGTTTTTGATGCGTTTTGCATTTTAATCTGCCCAGCAACAAGCTGGAAAAAAAAAATCAAAATGCATCAAAAACATGGCAAAAACGCATGTGTAAAAATGCAAAACGCACTGCAAAAAGCACTGCAGAAACAGATCAAACGCAAGCTTCATAGGTGTGAACCTAGCCTTAGGGATGGTTATAACCCCTGTCAGTTTTTTTGCCATCTGTGTTCCATTGGGGAGATTTACCTTCACTTCCTGTCCCATATCCAAAATGGGAAGTCAGAGGAAATCCTTGCAAATTAAGGATCACCAGAACCAGTGTCCCCATTGGAAGATTTCCCCTCTATTAATTTTCTGGGGACAACACAAAATCTGGGATTTTCTTTTCAATGATGATGGTAAACAGGACAAATAGGATGGATCTCCCTAATGGGGACACAGACAGCAGTGAAAACCTAATAGGTGTTCTAATCCATCTCCACTTTGTCCAAAAAAAAAGAAGTTTTGCCTTTAGTTATAATGTGTATGTAAATGTAAACTTTTTTTGGATAAGGGGAAGTTTTTCAAGAAGGACACATGTTTTGGTGACAACTGTGTAAGATGGGAACTCCTTCACCTTGCAGAGATTTTCTCGTACTTCCTGTTGCATTTCCAAGACAGAAAGTCAACTTCCTATAACGAGAATCCTGGTTTGCTAGACTACAAAACACCCCCTTTACATTATGGAGAGAAGGAAACTTTTTTACTAGTCCAGCAGAAGAGAATGTGGACATTTGGAGAGTTTCACTGCAGCAGAAGCAGTGTTGTCCTCTCGCTACAGGAAATGTGGAACTCACTGGGTTCCTGGCAGGCTCAGCGGGTATTTTTCTGTACCTGTATCTTTAAAAAAAATATTGGAAAACAAGCCCGTATTGCAGAGAAGTACTAAACATGTTTTTTATTACTTTGCCCAGACATACACTTTATTACTAGTAGTTATTTTGTAGTGCTGAGATTTTATTCATAATAATAACCACAGATACAGTATAAAGAATGTTTATCTTTTTCTTGTACCTGTTGCTGCGGCTGCTTCACTCCCAGCTTCATTTATTTCAATAGAAACTTTCTGAGCCACTTTTGAAATGTACAAATTTGATGTATCTGCAAAAATAAAAAATAGAGTACATGACAGACAACAGAAGATTAATATATCTTGATAGTCGACCTTCTGTGTACACATTATCCACAACAGACAGTATCTGGAAATTGGCAAAGAATGATGTCAGAAAATACTAAAGTGCAAATAGCGAAATAACTAGCTGCTATAAAGCTATTTATTGAAATGTGGCATACAATCTCTATATATTTAGGACCCAGTTATGTTCTAATTGTGGGCTCAATTATTCCTGCAATTGCTCACAGGGCAATATATGCATTGATTTCTTTACTAATACACTCAGTGATATACTCAATTACGTTATCAGCTAAATGTTATAAAAATATATCCCGAATGGAAGCCCGCACCCTCTTCTAAAGGTTTTGTAAGGGTCTATAGATTCAAGCATGAGCAACCACCATACAATAATGGAAAGTGATACTAAACACACACTGTTTAATTTACATTGTCCCTTCTCTTTCTGTATGTGAATTATGGTATTGTAGTTATTTTAATTAAAAAAAAAATCTAAGTACCTTTTTCCTAATTGATAAACAGCTGTCATATGACCCAGCTCTTTCCCAGACTGTCTGCATGGAAACAGTGGCAGGAGGAGCTTCTAGCCCTCTGCTGCTGGTCACATGTTAAAAAAAAGAGAACATACTTCGGAATATAAAGGAAATATACATAATCAACATCAAATAAATGTTTTAAATTGTCATACAAATATAATGTATAGTAACCAATCAGCTTCTAATTTCATATCGTTCAATTAAGTGTTGGCAATAAATGCTGTAAGCAGATTTGTGCATAGCTGGTTTCTATGCAGAGTTGCAACATATTTTTTAAAGTCCATGTGTGGCAGTGTCCATTCTTGCAGGATCCAGCAGCTGGCATCTTCAGGGTGGACTGTAGGTTCCAGCAGTCCCTCTACATGGCTGAAAGTTCCTGAAGGCAGGTGCCTTTGGGCACAGACCCCGGCAACAATGGCGACATAGGACCCCAATGGTGACAGCAGCGAGGAATCTCTCCGGGCTCTGGAGCACTGTCCCTATATGGAGCACAGGACCCCCGGACCCCAAAAGCCTGTCAAGGGAAAAACTCGGGAACAGAGGTAACCCTGACTCTCCTGTTCAGGGCAGCACCTATCTAGACTAAATTACAGCCTACAAGCTTACCAATTCTTTGATAGCTGCATTAGTTTTCTTGTTTAGGCTTTATTTCCGTTATTTTCATCTGGTGATCCAGATGAAAATATTGGAAACAAAGCCTAAAAAAGTAGGAGGTAACTTTTTCCTAATCGATATACAACTGTCTCATAACCCAGTTCTTTCCCAGCCTGTCTCCAGGTAAACAGTGGCAGGAGGAGCTTCTAGAAGACTAGGAGCTTCTAGTCTAGTCTTCTAGACTTGGCTCACCTCTGATGGTTTCTGCAAGGGTGCGGAGTCCAGGCTGGAGCTCTCAGTGAGGACAGCAGCCTCCCAGCACTATGACGCTTCCCTCTCATACACATTGGGCCCCAATCATTCTACGCACATAGGGTAACCCTGCAACCAGAGCACAGTCCCGTCTATTGATTGACTCCAGATGAGTAGAAAAAATGGCGGAGCCAGCATTGGACAGGCCCCATTCGTTCACTAGCCAGCTCCCTGTCACAGCTGGAGAATCGTGTGTGCCAGTGTGAGTATTGGATATGTATGGACCTGGGGTAATGTCACCACTTCCCATCCTAGGGGGAGCTGACACTTCACTGCTACATGGAATACTGTCATATGTATATATATATATATATATACACCACCACAATGGATTTGAAATGAAACAAACAAGATGTGCTTTAACTGCAGACTGTCAGCTTTAATTTGAGGGTATTTACATCCAAATCAGGTGAACGGTGTAGGAATTACAACAGTTTGCATATGTGCATCCCACTTGTTAAGGGACCAAAAGTATTTGGGACAATTGGCTTCTCAGCTGTTCCATGGCCAGGTATGTGTTATTCCCTCATTATCCCAATTACAATGAGCAGATAAAAGGCCCAGAGTTCATTTCAAGTGGGCTATTTGCATTTGGAATCTTTTGCTGTCAACTCTCAAGATGAGATCCAAAGACCTGTCACTATCAGTGAAGCAAGCCATCATTAGGCTGAAAAAACAAAACAAACCCATCAGAGAGATAGCAAAAACATTAGGCGTGGCCAAAACAACTGTTTGGAACATTCTTAAAAAGAAGGAATGCACCGGTGAGCTCAGCAACATTAAAAGACCCGGAAGACCACGGAAAAGAACTGTGGTGAATGACCAAAGAATTCTTTCCCTGGTGAAGAAAACACCTTCACAACAGTTGGCCAGATCAAGAACACTCTCCAGGAGGTAGGTGTATGTGTGTCAAAGTCAATACAAGAGAAGACTTCACCAGAGTGAATACAGAGGGTTCACCACAAGATGTAAACCATTGGTAAGCCTCAAAAACAGGAAGGCCAGATTAGAGTTTGCCAAACAACATGTAAAAAAGCCTTCACAGTTCTGGAACAACATCCTATGGACAGATGAGACCAAGATCAACTTGTACCAGAGTGATGGGAAGAGAAGAGTATGGAGAAGGAAAGGAACTGCTCAAGATTCTAAGCATACCACCTCATCAGTGAAGCATTGTGGTGGTAGTGTCATGGCGTGGGCATGTGTGGCTGCCAATGGAACTGGTTCTCTTGTATTTATTGATGATGTGACTGCTGACAAAAGCAGCAGGATGAATTCTGAAGTGTTTCGGGCAATATTATCTGCTCATATTCAGCCAAATGCTTCAGAACTCATTGGACGCCGCTTCATAGTGCAGATGGACAATGACCCAAAGCATACTGCAAAAGCAACCAAAGAGTTTTTTAAGGGAAAGAAGTGGAATGTTATGCAATGACCAAGTCAATCACCTGACCTGAATCCGATTGAGCATGCATTTCACTTGCTGAAGACAAAACTGAAAGGGAAAATGCCCCAAGAACAAACAGGAACTGAAGACAGTTGCAGTAGAGGCCTGGCAGAGCATCACCAGGGATGAAACCCAGCGTCTGGTGATGTCTATGCGTTCCAGACTTCAGGCTGTAATTGACTGCAAAGGATTTGCAACCAAGTATTAAAAAGTGAAAGTTTGATTTATGATTATTATTCTGTCCCATTACTTTTGGTCCCTTAACAAGTGGGAGGCACATATGCAAACTGTTGTAATTCCTACACCATTCACCTGATTTGGATGTAAATACCCTCAAATAAAGCTGACAGTCGGCAGTTAAAGCACATCTTGTTCGTTTCATTTCAAATCCATTGTGGTGGTGTATAGAGCCAAAAATGTTAGAATTGTGTCGATGTCCCAATATTTAAGGACCTGACTGTATGCACTAAATGGTCATGTGTGCTGGAAGGCTGTGAGGCAATTGAGAGAGCAAATATACCATCATGCTGTCATATAATAGTTAATGGCAGTTTCATTGGTAAAATTACCTTGCAGCAGTTAAGGCCATAATGATGACACACCTGAGCACCCCCCACCCCTAATGTATTATTCTCTTTTATGTAGAATCTATTTGAAAATGTAATATGATCATTTGGCTTTGTAATAGCTGCAAGCAGTGGAGTTGAACAGGGAATTCTGGTGGGAAATCTTACCAATAGAGTTCCTTAGAGATATAAGCCAGCAAGTGAGTGGATCCAAAAAATATAGTGTCAGACTGCAAGATTTGTTTAAAGTCGACCTTTAAAAAGAACTTGATAGGACCAAATATATGGTAGCTGCCATTGCTGAACAGAAGGTCAAAGATCACCCACAGCCTGGCAGTTGCTGTCCTGTCAACTACCTGAATTCAAATCACTATATAAAATTTTCTGTGAGTCTGCCCCCCATTTTTTCCATCATTCCCTCATCATTCCCTGTGTATGAGGAGGGGGAGACTCTTCAGAGAAATGAAGAATTCATACAAGAGGTCCATAGGCCACATAGAAAGAATGCCGGACTGTGCTGCACCCAGGCACCCCTAGGTGGTAGTGCGCCCTAGGCAACTGCCTAGTATGCCTAGAGGAAGCCCCAACCCTGTGTGGAGGACACTTCAAGCCAAAGCACCGTTTGATCAGCCTCCATGTCTGGATATCCTGGTTTGCTGTAGTGAGCACTGCACCTGTTTTCTAATCACTGCTTGCTGGTTGTTTTGCAACACTGCACCTCAGGTCTCTGCAGAGCACATCTGACCTAATCAGTATGGGGGGTGCCTACTCACTCTGTAGATGGGGAACTTTCGTGAAAGCGCTCACTAATGCCTGGGACCAGGGGGGCCACAGTCGTGCAAGAAGGTGGCACTCCATACTTAGAAGTGAGCCGTAAACCTTGCACAATTACATAATAAAGCTGAGGCTTTGTACTGTGAGACACTCATTCCCATGACACTGTACACCTTATCCTATTGAATGCAGCATTTTGAAGGGTACACTGCAGAGCCTGTGTCCTGGCCCACCAGCCTAACTTTTATTGCCACCTCGCACCCAGTGACAATGTGGAGGTCCCGCCATGCACTAAGCGTGGACCTCTGTGCTTGGTCAAGTAAATCCTTTGACTCTCCCATACCTCCCACTCTCCCACTAGGTCCATCTGTGCTGCAGATTCTGTCCTGAATACAGTAGGGGCACAAACCTCTAGGGAGGGAGTGAGAGCACCCTCGCTACCAGATGAGCCATTACCCATGCCCAGTACCACTTTCCCACTGGCTGACTGCCATAGCATTCCCACCAGTCCTGGTTACCCACAGAAACCATGTTAGACATGACTTCCTGTCAACTCTTCTGTGTGGTTAACCTCTCCATGGTGGCTTTTCCTCTCCTTCCCATGCGTGTATTATAGGCCCTGTTTTTTGGATACGCCATGTAACTAAATACACCGCTTTTGTAGGAACTTCAGACCAGGCAGGAGACAAATAATGGCACTTTACTGAAATTTCCAACAACACAGTCCATGCAGAAAAGTTGGACAAGAAACATAATAACAGTTCTGAACTAACTTGGGCTTTAGGTTCATATCTTCACAAAGTAAAATCCTTCCATTAAGTCCACTGCTGGTGGGTCCCTGGTCTCAGGCAGAATCCCGTTGGATGACCCAGCTGGATGACACAGTGCAGCAGTCCATCCCCTCCAGTCCCATGAGGGTGATCTGGACCTGGAGCTGGCCAAACTCTCCAATAGCCCCTCCCCTTGTATTTATGGGCCCACAGCAAGCAGCAGGACCATGAATACCCGGGAAAAAGAATAGAATCACCTTAACCCTTTTCCAGCTCTGAGCAGCCTGAACTCAATACACAAGGAGCAGTAGAATTGATACCAGACACCCCTCAAAGTGCAGACAGGGCAAAAGAAAGCATTCCCTAGTATCCCATAAGCACCCGCTTACAAATAAATCTTTAGTAGACTTCTTAACATTCAGTCTGTTCATAAAAGTAATGGACCTTGGATTAAAAGTCTGTAAAGAAGGCCACATTTTAGCTCCTGTAATTCCAGGAAGTCAAAAGAGCTTTTGATTTAAAGAGTACAACATAACTTTTAAGTGAATGTGATCAAAGATCTGGGTCAGAAATGTTTGTAGGCACCTTAACTTTTTTAATAACATTTATATGTCACCTGTTATTCCTGAAAGATCGCAGTTCTGGTCGAACAGATTGGTCACTTTTAAATTCAGCAGAGCATGCTTTAAGTCTACTTTCTGTTCTATTTTAAACCTGCAAAAAGATTTTTAAAAATACAGAATATTCAAATGACACATTTATGTAACCTATCACTTTCAGAACTTATTGTTGGTGTGTATTTATGCCATATCCATTAAGTAAACCATAATAGTGACATGCAACACTGAGAATTACAAAAGCAGACATAGTAGTAGTGCATGTACCAAATTTAACATTCATTTCTCAAATTGTTCTTTTCTTAGCACAAAATTGAATATGACTGGTAATATTGAGGCATCACATGCAGTTCTCACCTTAGACCAGCCTTTATCAACCAGGGTGCCCAGGCACCCTGGGGTGCCTTGAGATTTCTTCAGGGGTGCCTTGGCAAAATGTCTAAAAATTGTCCAAAACTTGCATACAAGCCAGTGGGTGGAACAAGCCTGCCTTTTAGTTACACAAAGCCATAGGTTTTCATGGCTCACCATTACGACCTTCTAGCTGCTGACGTCCTGACAACCAATTGCATCATCAGTTGATAAGGAGGATGTCAGCTGCCTGCACAGCATCCTAGTTTGAACCTCTCCTGCCCCTCTCCAGCAGTACTGGGGTCACATTAGCACAGTGATGGATAAAAACTGAGGGAGAGGAGAAACACTGGATTACTACTCAGTACCAGTGTGCAGAAGTGTATATGCTGTGGAACAATAAATCACCTCTAATGTTGGGTATCCTATATGTATGGATGTTGCTGTATTATATAAAGCTATTAGCATAGTTCTTTACATTTTAGCATGGGGTGCCCTTTTAAAATTATGGACAGTCTACAGGCACCCTGTCCTTTAAAGTTATGGACAGGGTACCTCAGGACTGTCCATAATTTTAAAGGGTGCCTTGACTGAAAAAAGGTTGAGAAACACTGCCTTAGACACATTGATAAATTACTCTATATGTTTTATTCATAGGCCCATTAAAGCAAAGCCAAGTCAAGGATTGTATCATTGTTTTATAAAAAAAAAAACTGAGGCTTATGACATGAACCACTAACGTTTGGCAATTGTATAGTTAGGTTCAGCATAGCGGAGTTTCTCTGCTTACCAGAGAGGCTGTCAGGTAAGTTCAGTGTGGTATTCTGCTTAACAGAGTGCTGTGATTGTTTAGTTAGGTTAGCTCATGAGGCTTTGGTGCTCCTGAGTTCTGCCCGCCTTCAGGAACGTATGAGAGCTTTCCAGAACATGGGTAGAGATTAGGCAAATGAACAGCATAAATATAGATACAGCTCTGGCCAATTGCAAAGGAAGTAAGTCCCGTTGCATGCTGGGAGTGGCATTTATGTTCTGTGAGCACATGGGTTCAGCGTTCTTCCTGGGAGGGGATTTAACAGCCAGCCTGGAGACAGGCTGCCTCGCCTGGCACTTCATGCCATGTGGCCTCAGGTGGGTCGACCTGAGGGTCTGAAGTTAGAGAGAGTGACCCTGGTTCTACAGTAAGATGAATGAGGGGAGCTGTCTGTCAAAGATTTGTTTGGTATCACTGGAGAGAGAGTCACTTGGAAAATTGGAAGGACTCTGAACTTTGCTATCCCTCTGGTGCTTGATTGTCAGCGTGGGTCTGAGAAAAAGGGAACACTGGCTAGTGTTCTGAACAGCTTGTCCAACGGTTGCTACTACAAAGGACTTTGCTTAGTTCTATTACTTATAAACTGCTATAGTCCATGTCAGGGCTCTCTCCTTGGCAAAGGTGTTAGGAGACCTGGCACCCCTGCCAGTACCTTGCATGAACGCAGAAGTTCACATCGGCTCAAATTTGGCACCAAACGGCCTTTATAAGGAAGCCCTGCACTACTCTCAGGTGCTGAAAGATCTCTGGCTTCCCAGTACCTTGTTCCTGTTTCCTGTGTTATTGTGATCTGTGATTTTCTGATACCGATTCGGCTTGCTCTTGGACCTGACTTCTCTGCTTAACCTCTAAACTGACCTTGGCTTGGCTAACGGATATTCCCTCTTTGCTCCTCTGTGTATGACATCAGCTATCCCATCTGACTACATGTGCTCTGATTCCCACCTGATACCTGATATCGGCTATGAACTGGCTATCCTGTGATCCTCTGTTTCCCGGAAGGCTTGCATACCTCGCACAGGCACCACCTGTCTGCAGATCCCATCTCAGTGCATCAGCTGTGCTCCTGGGTGGACCACCAACAAGCACTCCTACAGGCGACCTGTGCCACTGTGGGACTGACTCCTGCTGTCCCACTCTCAGGGGGTCAGGAACTTAGCCGCAAGGGAAGTCCTCTTTCCATTGGCCTCTAACACCAGGTACGTCAGTCCACCATAACAGACCTGTACCTGAGGAGTTCAGCAACTACTACTACTGCTAAAGGAGCTTTGCTCACTCCTAAACTACTTGTTGCTACACTTTAGGGAAGTCTGCTACCTGCTTTCAGTCAGGACTTCAATACTGCTTAACTAAGAGATCAGCTAGATGTCCTCAGTGTGAATAGTTCTCATTTTGGAGTATCCTACTACAATTCCCCATTCCTATCCCTAATAAAACTCCAAAAGCAAACATTCCCTAGACTGGTCATTGAAGACAATGAGCAGAAGTGTGTGTGTGTGTGTATTTGGCTGAAGAAATACAATGTGTCCTGGCTGCAGAACAAAGTAAGGATAAACCAGGCCCTCGCAAGGGTAGCGATACACAATAGAATGGAAGGAGTATATCTGTGAAGGTATTTACAGAGTTATATGGGTAAAATAACCAGGTTGGATAAAGTTAAAGTTATACTGTACATTTTATGAATCACTATGTAGAGTAAGAGCTGGAAATCCTTTAGATATGCATGGTGTTCTTTGGTAGGGTTATGTATTGCATTGCGAACAAGGAGGGGGTCTTATAAATTATTACATGTACATTGTACTGGTTAGATGATTAGCTGGTGATACTCTGTCAATATGATTAGTAACACTGAACTATGTTGGTGACATTCTAATCTGAATAGCCACAAGGCGAGCTATGGTTTCTGATGAAGTGTCATAACCCATTTTACAAGGTGGTACATGAGAGAAGGTATGAATGAGTCCATGAAAAATCTAAATGCTACCAGAATTGGCACCTTATCTTTATCTAAATTAAGATTTAAGTTGAACCATATGCTTTATATCTCAAGTTAGAGTATAGAAAACATTTAAATGTTAACTCACCTAGGCAAGCTAATTTCCACTGTCTCCTGTGTCATCTTAGTCTTCCATTCTCTTAGTACTGGTTTTGTCAACGTTTTTTCAAGAGCCTCTATTTCCACATTTTCTGCTGGGAGAGCTAATACTAAGCTGATCTTGTCTCCTTTATATGGAAGTTCCAATACCTGGTATTCCAAATCATTCTCAGAAAAAATATCCTAATAAAATAAAAAAAAAACATAAAGCAAAGTGAATCTGATGTAAGGGTACACTGCGATGTAATCAGGGTGTATTTTATAACACTAAATTGTGATGGTTTTTCACATACAATGTACTTCTTAGCAATTATGCTCATTATTGAAAATTCAGCCCTGCTGATTTCATTCACTTCAGATGCCCCACAATGTAGAGTTATAGAGATTTAAAGCGGTATTAAACCCAAAACCAAAAAATGTGATATATTGCAGCTTACCAATCATTAGATGTGATGGTTGCATTAGTTTTTGGGATTTTTTTTAAGCTTTTTTCCCTTCTGTTGTTACCTGGTGATCTTGCCAGTAACACTAGAGTGCCCCCACTCTGGATAAATGAGCACAGTGGCACCTTTTGGACAGCAGCAATGTCAATGTAGGGGGAGATTTAAGTAGCAGATTTAAATATGCTAACAAATTGAAGCCAAACTCCAACTAATACTTTATAAGCAGTTACAGTAAACTTTTTTTGAGAAAAGGTTTTTACATAAATAAAATTTGATTGTTGTAAGCACCCCTGTAAACGGTAAATTGTTTGTCTCATCTTTCTAACAGATACATTCTGGAGAACTTGTTCTTGTGAAAAAACACTTACTTACTGGCTGGATCACAAGATGAAAATAGAGGAAAGAATGCCTAAAAAAGAAAATGAATGCAGCCATCATATCTAAGAATTGGTAAGGTGCAACATGATAAATGTTTGCTTTTTGGTTTAATAACCGCTTTAAAGCTTATCTCCAGGCATTTTTATAGTCCCCTAGCAGGAGTTTAAAACAAAAAAGCAGCTCTGGCTACAATACTAACCACCCCTCTGGCACTATTACATCTAGTAATTCCTTCCCTCCACTAGATGTCCTCAGTCTTCCAGCTTGAATGACAGTGTCATTAAACCTGGAAGACTGAAAATACGCTTAGAGTGCAAGGAATCTTGGATCTGCCCTAATTGGCCCTAAAACTTACTAGTGATGAATTCAGCATTGTTCTTTGAATCACTGAAGACCCACCCATAACTGGAGATCTTAGGAGAAAAACGAACTGTATATGAAACAAGTACAAATTGAGGCATTGGATTAAAACCAATCAGTAGATCATTCAAATTGTGATTAAGACACAGTGGCTCTGGTAAGGCTGTTCTCAACAAAAAAAGTGTCCCCAAAACAGGAATCCTGTATTTGAAGAGAAAAATGCACACTATCCAGTGAGAGTACCAAACAAAGGTCCAAACACTTTCAATATCAATATTTGTTCACCAGGAGACAACGAAGAACAGCCAAAGCATTTCAGAGACCCAATGATCTCCAAAGATTGGAGGACTTTTAGGCCTGGTTCACACTAGTGAAATTTCAGATGTGACTTGAGTCACACCGATACCCATGACAAGGAAAATCATGTTGTTTTCAATGGTGTCTGTTCACATCAATGTAACTCAGCACAGAGCAATTTTGGAAAAGGTTCGTGTACTACTTTGGTACGATTTCAGTGTGATTTTGGCCATATAGAATATACAATTCTTATCAAAGCTGCATCCAAATTTCATCCAAGTAGCACTATATATTCACATTGAAAGTAGGATCATAATTATATTGAAGCTGTTTGAACCTAGCCTAAAGCTGCACAATCACCAAGGTTTCATTGTTTTCATCATATAAAATTAGACCTGACAAAGACCAGTAAAGCAATGGATTAGCATAGATGCTGCCCTTCTGAATGCACCAAGTTTTTTTTTTCTATATTTACATAGCAAAGTGAATGTTCATTTATTTATTGAATAAAGCAAAGCTGTATTTACTTCAGTTATGCAGCCATGAACAAGGCATAGTCCTGTGCATTTGGCTGAACTCTCAAAGTGAACACAGCTTCAACTTATGATCGAAACAAAGTAATTACTCTCTACCCCTTTAGTAGATCAACACTGTATTATGTTTACAGTGTAGAATCGGGCCCAGACTCGTTTTATAACTCTCTCTTTCACCAAAGAAGCTGATGTGCCTAGCAGTATATATGGGCTACCTTGGCTTCCTCTGATCTTCTCAATCGAGTTCAGATCCAACTAAAATTCTATCTATACTGATTCTTTTTATAAAGTGGGGAAAATAATTATTTGATCCCCTGCAGATTTTGTAAATTTGCCCACTTACAAAGAAATGAAGGGTCTATATTTTTTATCATAGGTGTATTTTAAATGCTAGAGACCAAATATCACCCAAAAATCCAGAAACAAAACATGATACAAATGTTGTAAACTGAGTTGAGGTTCAGTGAGTAAAATAAGTATTTGATCCCCCCCCAACCTACAATAATTCTGGCTCTGACAGACTGGCTATGTGCTCCTTTGGTACACAGATTAGTCCTGTCAATAAAAGAAGGTGCTTCTAACGACAACTCGTTATGTGTATAAAAGACGCCTGTCCACAGAATCTCTTTTTTGGGCACCACCAAGGGCAAGACCAAAGAGCTTATTATTATTATTATACAGGATTTATATAGCACCAACAGTTTGCTCAGCACTTTAAGAGCTGTCAAAGGACATCAGGGACAAGACTGTAGACCTGCAACACAGCAGGAATGGGCTACTAGCCTATCAGCTAGAATCTTGGTGAGAATGAGACAAACTTGTGGAGCTATTATTCTTAAATGGAAGAAATAAAAAATAACCATCAATCGCTCGGTCTGTAGTTCCATGCAAGATTTCACCTCATGGGGTAAGGATGATTATGAGAAAAGTGAGGGATCAGCCAAGAACTACATGGGAGGAGCTTGTGAATGATCTCAAGGCAGTTGGGACCACAGTCACCATACAAACCATTGGTAACACAATACGCTGCCATGGACTGAAATCCTGCAGTGCCCTCAAGGTCCCCCTCCTCAAGAAGGCACATGAACAGGCCCATCTGAAGTTTGCCAATGAACATCTAAATGATTCAGAGAAGGATTGGGAGAAAGTGTTGTGGTCAGATGAGATCAAAATTGAGCTATTTAGCATTAACTCAACCCGCCGTGCTTGGAAGAAGAACAATGCTGACTATGAACCTAAGAACACCATCCCTACAGTCAAGCACAGAGGTGGAAACATTATGCTTTGGGGCTGTTTCTCTGCTAAAGGTACAGGCCAATTTTGCCACATTGAGGGGCCAATGGATGGGCTATGTATTGTAAAATCTTGGATCAAAACCTTCTTCCTTCAGCCAGAACACTGAAGATGGGTTGCAAATGGGTCTTCCAGTGTGACAATGATCCAAAACATACCGCCAAGCAAACAAGGTAGTGGCTCAAAAAGCAGCACATTAAGGTCCTGGAGTAGCCTAACCAGTCTCCAGACCTTAATTCTATAGACCATTCATGGAGGGAGCTGAAACTTCGTGCTGCCAAGTGACAGACAAGAAACCTTAACATTTAAAGAAGATCTGTAAATAAGAGTGGACCAAAATCCCTCCTGAGATGTTTGCAAACCTGGTTTGCTAACTATGGCACTAATTCATAAAAAGAACATTGGGGAACTGGAGAAAGTACAGAGAAGGGCAACAAAACTGATAAGAGGCATGGAGGAGCTCAGCTATGAGGAAAGATTAGAGGAACTGAATTTATTCTCTCTGGAGAAGAGAAGATTAAGGGGGGATATGATCAACATGTATAAATACATCAGTGGTTCATATAGTTAACTCGGTGTAGAGTTATTCGCCCTGAGGTCATCACAGAGGACAAGGGGGCACTCTTTACGTCTGGAGGAAAATACATTTAAACTCCAAATACGGAAAGGTTTCTTCACAGTAAGAGCTGTGAAAATGTGGAGTAGACTCCCTCAAGAGTTGGTTCTGGCCAGCTCAGTGGATTGCTTTAAAAAAGGCCTGGATTCTTTCTTGGATACACAGAATATAACTGGTTACTATTTATAGCTAAAGTTAATCCATGGAATATCTGATTTTTTCTCAGGAATTTTTTCCCCTGCAAAAGCAAATTGGATCATGCTTTGCTGGGTTTTTTGCCTTCCTCTGGATCAACTGTGGGTGAAATTATAACTTTTTTTTTTTTCAGCCAGACTAACTATGTAACTGGTAACCAACCACAAGAAACATAATATAACATTTGTATCGTGTTTTTTTCTGGATTTCTGGTTGATATTCTGTCTCTATCATTTAAAATACACATATGATAAAAATTATAGACCCTTCATTTCTTTGTAAGTGGGCAAAAATCTGCAGCGGATCAAATAATTATTTTCCCACTATACATAGTAGCAAAATATATCATAGCCCAGCAAGCTGAGCTTGATTGTGAATAGAATCTGTAGTTAATAGCTAGGTAGTCTAAGGCAGTTACATTTTGTTCTTGAACAGATTGGATTAAACAGAAAACATAGCTTTTGGGTGTTTCTGCTTCATTGCTCTCCCATCTGTTAAAAGCAACATCAAAATTTGTTAAGTGTACTATATACTAAACATGCTTTTTCTTGAACACTTGAATTACCGATGTTTGTTGCTGTTTGGAGGTGCATCATTGGTATCTTGGTTACATTGCCTTTCTTTACTTTGAAGTCTTGTGGATGAGTGGCATCTGGGCTAAACTTGTGTTTCCATTCTCCTCTGAAATAAACAGCGTTGACCAAAACAAGTTTTGACAGTGGTTCAAAATCTCCACTTGAAAACATGTGTTTGATTTTACCTGGACAAAGAATGGCAAAAAAATATTAAATAATATAACTGGTTCTATTTAGAAGAGCTGTGTGAGCCAATTGTAAACCCTATTCTAAAAGGCACCTTTTTGTTAAAGATTTTTGGGTGACGTGCATGGCAATCATTTATAAACTTGTGGTTTTCATTTGGAAAAAAAGATATCATGTTTTGAAAAGGTTTGTCTTGCATTTGATTTTCCTGACATTTTTGTCAATAGATTTTACCAGCATCCATTTAAGAAATTGAATTACTTGATGACAATAAAGAGAAATACATACAAAATCCTTAGCAATTCCAAAAGCACTACAAAACCTAGCTCATATAATACACAAAATTACTTGGCTAAATTTATTAAGGAAACATGGCTGTACAAACTGTAAATATGGTTATTCCAAAGTAAGCATGTTACTAATAATTCCTATTCCAATTCATAACTAACAAGGAGAGGTGTATTTGGGAAGGGCAATGCTATAAAAGTGCATAAAAGAAAATGATCTAACAATCAATTCAACTGCCCAGTAAATGGGACTGATTTTATTCTTTTATATTCTTCAAACTGCCAATTTATTTAACTAATATTTGCTTTCTTTATTTATAACATTATTTAATTAAAGTAGATGTAAACCCTTACAAGCCTTAGATGATACACTGAGATGAAACAAATCCTTTTACATATGCAAGTTGTATTTTTTTTTATTTTCAGCAACCTCTTCTCTACATCTGTTTAATGTCCAGAATTTACACAGCATCTCTGAGCTTCCAGAGGCAGGGGGAGGGGATCTGGCATTACAGAGAGGAGAGCTGAGTGTAATCTGAGACCTGAGAGAAAGGAAGGGACACACCACCCCTACACAATCTCCTGGCTTTGTGCAGGCGCTTTCCTCCCCATCCTATGGAGCCAGCACAACTTGTTAGAAATGATTCATGCAGATAGTAGAGAAATGCGAATTCAGACAAAAATCACAGTTCTTTGGATTGAAGCAAGTACACACTATAGAAGGAGAGGCTTGTTCATTTTTCATGTCAGAGGTTTACAACCACTTTAAGACCTTCATCACCTTCAAGGCTTCATCACATTAGGTGTATACATTTTATATATATATATATATATATATATATATATATATATATATATATATATATGAATATATATAATTTGTTTTTTATAGCTTCTCAGCTGGAGCCAGCTACTGGCCATAAATATTATATTTCTATATTATATAAGAGGCTTGTTTATGAACATTCCTCTATGCAGTAGCTGAAACATAAAAAGAAAGCATTCAAGCCATTTCTTTATCACGTGTAATGTAGTTCTAGAATTTTGAAAGATAGCAGCTTTGAAAATAGCAAAGTAAACTCTCCCAGCATGTACTTATGTCTAGCTGTAATTGTGAGAAGAGAACATGTGGGCTCGATTTATCTCACTGACCAGTGATGCATTGAGAGAAATACTTGGTTACCAGGATATTTTTCTGTGGTCTTATGTGAAAGGTTATACAAATGAACAGATGGGACCTCTGGAGTTACTGCACACGGTGGTTGAAGGCTGAGTGTGATGCTAAGGGAAAAATTGTTTATTTTTATGAACAGTTCCTTAAACGAGGATTGTCTTGTTAATTTCATATACTCAGTATCATGAAAATGACCAAATTACTTACAAACCTCTTAACCTTAACAGGATTCAAAAACAACCTTTAGCAAGAGAGTTTCCTGGAATCACAGAGAATTTGCTGTCTTTTCTATATATTTGAGAACACGGCTACTGTAGTCTTGTTCATAACTTATCATTTATCATGCTCACTTACCATTTTCCTCATCTCTTATTAATCATCCTTCATCATCTCTTGCTCGTCACTTTTTCTGCACCACTTATCCCTCACTGTTCACTTCTCATCAGTTATCTTGACTTGGAGTCTTCTATCATCAATTTACTGCTTATATTGTACCACTCATACCTTGCCATACAGCAATACTCATATATTTGCTTCACATATCACACACTTGAATGGCCTGGCAACTTCTGGAATTTCACGGTGCCAAAAGATGGTAGTCAGTCAGGGGCTCTCTTGCTAAATGAGTATTTTCTAGCATTGATAATATACACATGCAGGGTTGAATAGCTCACACACTCCTCCAAAATATAGCATTGAACTTTATTATCACCAAAACAAATAACCAAAGAAGAATAAGGTCGATACTTCATTAACAATTTAAAATGCAACGATGTCTAGTTGCCAATATCCCTGGAAAATGAGGACACTTTCCCACACCAAGCAAAAAATAATGGTGTTCTTTTCATTGTATCTGCCATGGCATCTTATGTGTTGTCCCTTTTCTGCTGAAACATGGCTGGTGTTGGACAATATGGAAATTGTGTCCAGCAGAAGGAGGGACACGTGGAAGCTATAAATGTTGTACAGTGTAGCAAACAATCAGATTTTGTTCCACTGAAGTCATGTCAGTACATGTCAAATATGACTCTAAAGAAAGGGCATGGCCTTGAAACATGTTAGTGTTTAGTGGAGGTATAACTTTCACCAAGTATACAACTTTGGTCCCTCTTTTTCACAGTGAGAGAATGTTCAGCAACTGGTGGCATGATTAGGTGGTCCTGTGGATATTGTTCTTTGGTAATATGCCCTGATCAAGTCAATTCATTGTAAGTGCAATCATATACTTTTTAATTTTATTAAAATGGTTTAAAGGCTAAAGTGTTGATAAATCTGTGACCCTGTAATTCACTATATCTGGTCTCCCACAGTACATAGAACACGAAAATGCAATTATTTTAGTAAATCTAAACAGCTAAATAACTTTTCTCATCATCAGTTAAAGTAGTCTTGTGACTTATATCAGTGTCCAGCAGAGCATTGGTTAAAGCTTGTAGTAGGAGTTTTCATTTTCCCCTGATTGTCCCATGAGGCTGCATAACCCTTGACCCTCTGTCTGGACAGCACTGATTGGCCCTGTACTAATCGAAACACACCAAACTGAGCATGTGCTGCTTGCCCCAAGGCTCTGTTCTATCAGCAGATGGATTGGGGACAGTAGAAGAAGGGGAGCATCAGAGAAGACATGATCAAACATCCTTTTTACACAATGCAGAGGATTAACCCCATAGGCTCCATAGCGAGTATAACAAGCATGCTTTACTACATATACAGACTGATTTTACTGTTGTGGGTTTAGTAACACTTAAGTTTACCTTTTCCAGGAAATAGCCTACACAGTTAAGGGGCCCATTCAGATATTAAAAAAGTGTGTATCTTTGTTAAATGTTCATTAATTTATTACATAAAAAAAAAGATTGCCATACTAATAGATATAATACTATATCCTTGTAATATCTCCGACTCACTTACAATGAAGTGTGGATCATAAACCTAGTAATACTTGGAAAAAACAAAGTGGCAGTTGGCTGTGCGGGTTTGCACTAGTCAACTGCCACTTTGTTTTTTCATTAATTTATTACCATACTTATAGGCCATGCTGGCAACCCTGGAAGCCTAGAGGAAGAATTCCCAGTTCGCAATACCCAAGTCCTACCTTGTTGCTAGAACATTCATTTTTATAACGTTGGGAATGAGCATTCAATGGTTTTCACATTCTAGCAACAAATCAGCCAGACTTTCAGGAGGGCCCAAATGGCCTACTGGATTGACAATAAAATTCATGAACATTTTTAAAAGCTGCACATTTTTAACCGCTTCCCGCCCAGCCTATAATAGAATGACAGCCAAGCGGGAGTGCTGCCATCCTGGGTGGACATCATAAGATGTCCTTCCAGGATCAAGCCACGCTGCAGCTCAATCTGTTACCTGCTGTGTCCACCAAACACAGTGGATGACAAATCAGTGTACTGGGCCACTATTGGTACCACGTGATTGCTGTGACCAGTCATAGCAGATCACTAAGGGATTGTACACAATGAATGCTTTCCATTATTAGCCATTCAGTGTGTACTATTGTGTTTATTTCTGTGATTGGTCACAGTGATTACATGTTGCAGACAGGGTCAATCACAGTGCATCTGTACTTTGTGATAGCTGTGGCCAACCACAAATCCTAATCACCTCCCCAGAGTAGTATAGCGTCACTATAGTAATACTGTACTGGTCTGGTCACAGTATGTAAAAGAATTGTAAATATATATATATATATATATAGAAAAAACCCACATTTTTAAAATTTCCTTGTTTTCCACAGAACTGTGACAAACAATTACAACTAACCATGCCTCTTACTAAATACCTTGGACTGTCCACTTTCCAAAAAGCGGTAATGGGGTATATGTATCATTTGTATCTTCCAGGCATTCTTGGGCCTCAAGAAATTAGATTGGCTGTCAGTACATCACGACTGATCAATTTTCAAATATATACCATAGTTTGTGGACTCTATAACTTTCTCACAACTTTTTTGAAAAGTTGTGGTCTTTTTTAGTTAATTTAGCCAACGATAAAAAAACAGTGGTGAATAAATACCTCCAAAAGAAAGCTCTATTTGTGTTAAAAAAAAAAGCCCTAAAGATTTATTTTAAGTACAGTGTTGCATGACCGAGTAATTTTCATTCAAAGTGTGACAGCTCTGAAAGCTGAAAATTGGCCTGGGAGGGAAGGGGGTGAAAGTGTCTGGTATTGAAATGGTAAATATACTGTATCTACTGGGGTCCCTTGACTGCATAGACTATTTTCTAGAACAGGTCAACTTACCCCTTAATCTGCACTATCCAGTGCTTTCTCTTTCTATTCTTGATATCAGGGAATGTTGCTTTAGGTTATAATACAAAAACATCACAAATGCAGTTTTCACTTGAACCAATAGATTCCCTATGTTAGGTCTACTACAGTAACAACTAATCTGGTAGGGACACTTAAAAAGTATTTGAATGGTTTGTATCTGTTTTTTTTCCTTTGATTTGCATTATGCTAGAGGCATAGTATAAAGCTCAAACAACTATGTATTACTATGCTAAAATCTGCTTTGCTTCAAGCTCAGGCAGCTTTGCAAGTCTATTTTATTCCCTATAAAGTAAAATGCCTACCTAGAACAAAAACTACTATTTATTTATCTTCACAGAATGTATAGATTACCATTTGTTTGTCTTTCTACCCATGCACTTATTATTTTGGCAGATGCTTTCAAATCTTGGAAATTCACCAGCTTTATTTCACTCTTGAAAAAATCCCTGTTGCTATGGAGATACTGCTCCTTCACGTGGAAGCCTTCTTGAAGGTAGAGGGCATTTGCGAGATTAAATGCAAATTCTTTATTTTCTTCTGAAATGACAGAAACCAGCTTTTGGAGCTCCGAAAACTCCTCACCTAAAGACAGAGATTTGTGTATTAGTCAAATTTTAATGATCTAAATAATGGTATACATTGTACTGGAAAAGTTTCCGAATGAAGGCATATCATTGTGGATGAGTTCTCTTCCCCTTACGTTGGCACCACACAGTATAGCTGACTCTCGATAAATGCTGCTCCACTTTCAGAATGTGACAATGCAGCTGAGGATTGTTTTGTGTTAAAGGTAATTGGCTGTGTAAGAAATATGGTGGTACAAAATAATGTTTGTTACTGTAGCAGAGATACAATTAGCTCTCTCTGTCTCCTAAGGGAGTAACAGCACAATTGAGAACGGTGAAAAGCATTTCTGTTGAACTGTAAAGGGATGAAAGAGCTGATTTATTAATCCGTGAGAAAAAACTGTCCATATCGGTGCCCTTCTAATAGGAAATCTAGCCGTACAGATGGAATAGAGAGCTGGCAATACATAGTAGTTGGAAAGCTACATGTTTGATCCTTGTCCGTACTATGTTAGGTGAGCAGCTACCCTTTGGATTCTACTTTATCTTATGCAATGAAATCAAAGAAATACATCATACTAAGCAATAAATGTGCAGCTTACCTGTTTTTTAGGGAAAAAAAAAAATTAACCACTTGAAGACCAGGCTTTTTCTGATACTTTTCGCTTATATGCAACAATCAATATTTTTTGCTAGAAAATGATTTAGAAGCCCCAAACATTATATATTTTTTTAAAGCAGAGGCACTAGAAAATTAAATTGGTGGGATAACCCAATTTTTTGTAAAATATATGATAAAAAAGATGATGTAAATAGATTTCAAACATGTCATGCTTTAAAATTTTGAATGTCCACGCAACAGCAACAAACGACGTAAATTTTACTATCCATAGGCGACATTTAAAAGCCTTTACAGGTTACCACTTTAGAATTACAGAGGAGGTCTGATGCTAGAATTACTGCCTGTGATCTGACGTTCACAGTGATACCTTACATGTGTGGGCAGTCGCTATTGCGTGTGTGCCCCCAAAACCAAGATAAGTGTGATTAAATGCTTTTCTTTTTTAACCCCTTGGTGCCGAGCATACAAAAATTAGCTGCCTCACTGGAATGGGCTTTTTTCCGTGGAGCCGCTAATTTGCATACCTGTCTCTGTGCTGGGAGCATGCCGCACGGCGTGCTCCCAACACAAAAACTGGGGTGTCAGTGAGAGCCCCGGGTTCTGTTCTAACAAAACTCTCGATTCCAGGTCACAAGATCGCTGTGAAAATTTCTGATTGGATATCACAGTGATCATCACTGTGAAGCCCGTCCCCCTTGTTTTTTCTCTGTGAATGGAAGAGAGAGATACATTATATCTCTCTCTGTCCTTTCAGAGATAAAAAAACATGTTTGTAAAAAAATAATAATAAAAAAAATTAAATAAAAATAAATAAATAAAAATACCTAGATCAAGGTTTGCCAGGGTTAGTGTTTTGGCCAAGGTCAGGGTTAAAGGTCAAGGTGAGTATTTTTTTCTGTCAGGATTTTTTTTTTCATTTGCAAATCATTATCAGTGTCAGTGGCAGGATTAAAAAAAAAAAAAGTAAAATGCGCACTATAGTTTCTGGGCCGCACTACAGGTACAAACAACTAACATACACATATGTGGTATTGCTGCGAACGTCAGGAGCAGGAGAAATTATTTTGGGTTGTTCTTTGGTCGTTGGTTATGGCAGTAGCAAGAAATATATAACTAAATTTAAAAAAATAATTTTTTATTCTATTTTGGGTCAGTTTTTCCTTGATAATAAAAAGAACTCAGAAGATGTCCATTACCATTTACCACCAAATGAAAGCCCAATTTGTCCTGAAAAAAAACAAGGTATAATCCACCTGGATGTACAAAGTAGTTGTGATGATATGTGCAGTTTTGCTAACATGTCAACGTTGCAAAATTGTGCTTAAAAATGGTGCAGTTTAGTTCCGAGTAAACTGGAAGTGGTGTCAGGTCATCGCTTCTGAGTTACTATGTAACAGTCAAGCAAAGCCGATTCTGTCTTTGTTCAGCTCTGTGATCAGCTGGCGGTCGTGCCAGATGGTCGATTGGGACTCACAGTGGAACAGGAGATCCTGTTAAAGCTGCAGAAAGTTGTGGGAGGGACGGGACATCCCCTCCCGCTGCTTGTAATAGCAATTGAGTGGCTAGTTAGCCGCTCTGATTGCTATTACAAGAGAGACTACTGTTGGCTCTAAAAAACAGCATCAGAATGCCTGCAGCTGTGGGCATTATCCTGGTACAATCACTTAAAGTCCAACGACGTACCAGGTACGTGACTGGTTGGCAAGTGGGTAACACTTTTTTGTTCATATAAATGATGCTGTGTCTTGTTCAAGCTTATTTTGTGCATGCATTTACACGTTGTATGGGTAATCATCTGATATAAGGCTTTGTTTACATGTGTGACTGAAGGCCTCTGACTGCAGAGCTGAAAGTTACCAGGGCCAGTGGCCGCGTTAGGACACAGTGCAGCAATCATACTGCGGTGCAGAAAATGTATGCAACAGTTCACATTCAGCAGGCAGTGTTGCAGCCAAACGTGACCCTTTCAACTGCAACCACATGTAAAGCAGTGCGGTGGGCTTTCAATGGTTAACACAGGCATTGAAGTGTGTAAACAGATCACCTCTGAGCTTCCTGCTGAATGCCTCTGAAAAGCAATCTGTGGTGCCTCTTATATACTGCGGAATGATTTTCAGAGGGGTAGAAAATGTATAAACAAGGCATAAGTAGGCCTGCCAGAACACATCTACATTCAGTTGTTGCTGTCGTATGCAGATGTATGGCCTAGTTCACTCAAGCTTCAACCTATGTAAGGCTTAGTTCACACTTACAGTGGGGGGGGGGGGGGGTGGTAAAAACAAGTGGTTGAGCCATGTCCTCCCCCAAAGCTGAAAAGGCAGCCATAGGGGGTTATACATATGAAAAAATGATCCCCTCACCACACACAACCCAAGACCAAACTCCCTCAAGAGCTGGTTCTGGCCAACTCAGTAGATTCTTTCCTGAATGCACATAATATAACTGGATACTAATATTTATAGGTAAAGTTGATCCAGGGAATATATGATTGCCTCTCGGGAGATCAGGAAGGAGTTTTTTTTCCTTTGCTGGATCAAATTGGATCAAGCTTTATTGGGGTTTTGTCCTTCCTCTGGAACAAATGTAGGAATTGGATAGTGTATATGGAGGTTTTCTATTTGTGTGTGTTGTTTTTGTTTTGTTTTCTCTGTTGATTGAACTTGTGTCTTTTTTCAACCAGAATAACTGTGTAACCAGTGTAAATGAATGGGGCCACACAACAACAACCACGTGTATTGTGGGTTTGTGTGTATTTAAACAGGACGAAAGCTCTGCAAATGCTCTGTAAAAGTTCACATTATATGGCACTTATACAATCAGAAGCCTGTGTGACCTGGGAATAACAGCTAGTTTACACCAGCATTGATCTCGCTTTTCAGAGGGCATTTGACAGGCAGGGAGAAGCATTGTGTAGCCTTTTCACCGCTTGTTTTTAAACCTGCACTAGCATGACAGCAGAGATAACTTTTCACAGGGCATATGTACTCCACCCCCCCACCACCACCACATTGGTGTAAACAAGGCTTTTTTCTAAGTAATCACATTCCCTCTGTTTTCAGCTGCACAGAGAGCTTGGGGAGGAGAAACACTGCAGAACACTGGTCTTTACAGTGAACGGCTGTGAAAAGGGAGGAGTGTCAGCACAAGTCTGATCATTGGAGGAGAGCATGCTGAGTTACCAGCACAGCTAGAAAACTGACCACGGTGTGTTCTGCTTAATGTGGTCAGTTTTTAATAGGACAGCAGAGGGACTGGCAGGAACACCAGGGATTTCACACTAAGGAAGCAACGCAAAGAGAAAATAATACTTTTTTAAACAAGTATATGGTATAGCAGGCACATATCAGGAATAAGAAATTTTTGGTTTACATATTTTTTAACTCAATGTATTTTAAATGCAAGAAGTGTAAGTGCCTTTATATGACCTGTTATAGCCTCTTGCGATCCTCTGTGTTGCAGATCTCAGACTGCAAGAGGGAGAAGCAACACAAGCAGATAATCAGTTGTGCTGCAACATTAATGTGCTAACAAGGAACATGCTGATGGGAGGAGAGAGCAGAGTGATACAGAGACGAGCTCATCAGTGCTCTGCTGCTCCTTTACTCCATAGCTTTAATTTCTGCATCTGCATCCGCTATGGAAAATATCAAACCCACTAAGTTTCAAAATTACCTGCTGCTGAAGAGTTTATTTAAAGTGGAACTTTAGTCAGAAAAAGTCCTGCTATATCACTTCAGGCTGGGCCCCTTTTGCAAGTATAGCTATATAAAACATTAAAAATAAATGCCTATAATGTTTAAAATCCAGTAGGGCTATGTCTAACCCTGTGCTCTGCACGTGCTCAGTTGTCCTGTACTCTCTGCACTGTGCCGATAATCAGTGATTCACTATAGGCCAATCAGCTGATGGCCACAAGATTTACTGCAGAGCTGAAAGGAGGCAACAGCAATGACATAGACCACAGTGCCAAGGGAACACAGATTAGGGAGGGAGAAAATGAAAGCAGGAGAGGTTACAGGACAAAATCTGCTGTCAGAGAGATAAAAAAGACATATCTTATCTCCCTGATTATCTCTCCTTTCTCCTGCACAGCCTGAAAATTCACGGCTGTAAAAAACTTCTTCAGGCTCCTTCTCTAGCTGATCCAACACATACAATCAAGGCTGGAAATGCACATATTTTAATCACAGAAAGTGACATGTAGCTTTTCAGATCAAGGAAAGGGGGAGAGTTCTGAATAAGGAAGTGACTGCTCTGGGCTTCAAGAAAATGGCAGCCTCCGGCAAGAAGAAACAGGAGAAATGCTGGAGGCAACACACACTAATTTTGGTAGCACAGTTATTAACGTGGAATGTATGTTCCTTGCTAAGGAACATTACTTGTTATCAAACTGTGATGGGTAAAATTAAATCAGAAAAGTAATGAGAAGCCAAAGAGCCAAGTGTTCTGTATCTAATGGGGTGGATTGTGTTGAATTAATTCTGTGATGGACATCATTATACACGGAGGCCTAAGGTAATCAACTTTTTTTTTTTTTTTTGCTTTTTTTAAAACAAATATATGGCAACCTTTATTGATAGACCCCGATAGGCACAGGAGCACCAAGCATGGCCAGTCAATTCATGGCTCATGATAGGCCCCTCAAATCATTCAAAATTGTATTGATTTTGTGATTTAATGACAAAATTAAACAGTGTGACCTATCAATGAATAGATTGACCTATTTGAGCAATCCATCACATCTGTAGAAGAATTTGCTATTCTGTCTCATACATTTCCTAGACAAAGGTTGTAAGGCTGTCAAGAGAGTATGAATATATGTATGCCATCTAAAAGACTGAGAGACCAACATCTCTACGTGGTCTTTTCAGGTTCACCAGTGATCATATTATTAACAGTATTTGTGCAGAGCTTTCTCTCCTAATTATTTTGCAAAACATAGTAAATGTGAGATGTTATTGTAAAGGTATGCTTAATGAATCCCACAGGCTTGAATAAACAAGAAAATCCTATGTCTTCTTTTAATATGTCCGGGGATGAAGCTTTATAGACAGAAGTGGGAATGTGTTGCACAAAGGAGCTGCATGTAAGAAGGCAGATGCAACATATAAAAAGAAGAAGAAAACAAAACGGTGAAGACATTTTAAATATACTATAATATGTCCTTATGATTAAAATATTATAAATCAATGCACAGGAGGATTTGAAGAGGTTCCACATCTTTAAAAGCTAACTGGTGACTCATCTCAGCAACAAAATATTTCAAAGCTAATGAATGACTCATCACTCAAAAAGTGTAGAAAAAAATTGTATGATGTGTTCACACAACTATGGATGCCTTTTATCTACTGCCAAGGCCTTCTTATGACCCTATTCATAGTGCTGCCAAGCAGTGCAGAAACCCCTCCATAGACGTGGTCTACACACCCTCTCTATACACAGCAGTGAAAAGCATCATCATTAGTTAAACATGAGCTATTTTACCTGTCATTTTCAATACAGTAATCTGCATTAGGCTTTAAGCTTGAAAGAGATATCAGTATCTTTGTAACTGCGTAGTCCTTAAGGATGTTTGCTGGAAACTCGGATGCTTCTCAATATAATATATTTATTGGTTACAAAATATCGGTACAGGATCTACAGATGCCAAAGAGTTTTAGTGAAAGCCTTCCTCATAGCATATGATAAGCTATGAGGAAATATTTTGCCGAAACGCGTTGGCACCTGTAGATCCTGTACCGATATTTTGTAACCAATAAAGATATTTTATGGAGAAGCATCCGAGTTGCCTGCTAACATCTTTAAGGACTACATTGAGACAAATGAACGCTTTAGCCTGAGTGCTGGCCTCCAGCTCTCATTAACAACACAGCCGTTGAGCTTGGGTGAGTTTAATTTCATCTCTGTAACTGCCCTTTAAGAAATGGGAGCCACGCAGCTTGGGATTGGTTGTTAGCTTGTCAATTGAGGGAGTAGTTTTAGTAAGGGCATAAATAATGGGGGTGGAGTCAGAGGGAGTAGATGAAGAAAGTGGGCTGGTGTAGTGACAGCTGTCAATGTGCTGGGAAGAAGGAAAGAGATAATCGTTTCCTTGACTTGGGGATAACAAAGCTATGCCGTGTTCTCCCCAGGAGGAAGAGTTACATTCCCTCTTGGAGATTATATTGATTTAAGTGGAACTCCAACTAGATGGAAGGTTGAATGTGATATTAATTAAAGTGGTTGTAAACCCTTACATATACACAGTGAAATGAGTGGCCTCCTACCACCCAATCCTCCTACAAAGGTTGTACCTGTCTATCTGCAGTCTTCTCTTCTCTACATCAATTTAAAGTCTAGAATTTATAAAGCTTGTCTGTGCTTTCAGAAAACAGAGGCGGACAGCTGAAATTACACAGTTCAGAGCTCAGCCAGGAGAGCTGATTGGAGAGAAGGGACACACCCCTGCATACAACACACAGGAACAGAGCTAACAGTGTCAATTGCAAGCTGTGTGCCAAAGATCCCTCCCCATCACTTTTTTTTCTCATGGTGTCAGGAAAACTAGTCAACAGTGATTCATGCTGATAGCAGACAGAAATGACGCTTAAGCTGGCCATACATTCTACTGTACATTTTTCCTGTACAAATTTCCTTTAGATTTGCTTTGTTCACATTTAATGTTTGAAGTTTACAACCACTGTAAAGTGTACCTTCACCCAAAAGGGGAGGTTTCACTTGTTTGCCTCCTCCACCATTCCTCTTTAACATTTGGCATTTCATTTTTTTGGGGGGCGGGGGGGTACATGGTTTTGAAAGGCATCCGCTGCCACTTCATCCCAGATCTCAATTCCCCCCCCCCCCCTCGCCTGCAGCCTTCTGGGAAACATCATAGGTCCCAGAAGACTGCATGACCATTCACGAAGCACAGTGTGACTCCTACATGCACAGTGGGAAGTCGGCTCTGAAGTCATCACAGACAGTTTTACCTTAGGTACAGGCTTGGATGAGGACCCCTGGACAGGTAAGTGTCCTTATATTAAAAGTCAGCAACTACAGTATTTGTAGCTGCTGACTTTGAATTTTTTTTTTTGGGGGGCGGGTACCTGATTTTGACAGGTGCCCACTCCCACTTCCGCCCAGATCACAATTCATGCCCCCTGGAGCACAGGGTGGCTCGTGTATGCACAGTGGGAAGCCAGCTGTGAACCTGCAAGGCAGTCCCACTATAAGTGCCACCATTACTAGTAAAAATAAAAAAAAATCCCAGTATGTATATCGCCATTTGTAAACGCTATAACACGTAAACCAATTAATTTACACGTATTGGGATTTTTTTTTTAGTAAAGACATGTAGCAGAATTACATTTTGGCATAAATTTATGACAAAATTTGATTTTTTCAATTTTTTTACTGGACATGTTTAATAGCAAAAAGTCAAAAATGTTTTTTTTTTTTCTCAAAACTGTCGGTATTTTTTTTTTATAGTGCAAAAAAAAAAAAAACTGCACAGGCGATCAAATACCACTGAAAGAAAGCTCAATTTGTGGGGAAAAAAGACGCAAATTTAATTTGGGTGTAGTGTTGCATGACTGCGCAATTGTCAGTTAAAGTAACACAGTGCCATAATGTAAAAAATGGCCTGCTCAGGAAGGGGGGTAAATCCTCAGGAGGGCAAGTGGTTATAGGCTTGGGTGAGGACCCCTGGACAGGTGAGTGTCCTAATATTAAAAGTCAGCAACTACAGTATTTGTAGCTGCTGACTTTGAATTGTTTTTGAGGGGTTACCTGATTTTGGCAGGTGCCCGCTCCCACTTCCGCCCAGGTAACAATTACCCCCTAGCCTTCGCCAGCAGCCTTTTGGGACACATCATAGGTCCCAGAATACTGCAGGATCATTTATGAAGCACAGCGTGGCTCATGCTTGTACAGTGAGAAGTCAGCTGTGAAGCCGCAAGGCATCACAAATGGTTTACCTTAGTTACAGGCTTGGGTGAGGACCCCTGGACAGGTAAGTGTCCTTATATTAAAAGTCAGCAACTACAGTGTTTGTAGCTGCTGACTTTGAATTCTTTTTTTTTTTTTTGGGGGGGGGGGACTGAAGGTCCTCTTTAAAGTAAGTTTACAAAAAAATGTAATTGTCCTGAGATCTAGCCACTCAACATTTATCAGATGTACAAAGCTAGAATTGAAACATTTATCGACAGTATTGCTACTGTTGCTAAATGTGACAAATCCGATTCAGAGCTATTGGTTTTCAGGAAGCAAGACTCTTTGGATATGGTACGGATTATAAGGGGGAACTCCACATAAAAAAAAAAAAAAAAAGAAAAAAAAAAACCCATGTGCACAAAATGTAAAACGCTTCAACCCCCCCCCCCCAAAAAAAAAAAAATTAATAATTACCAGGAACATACTCTGCTCAGGTGTGACTGCATTCTTTACTGTGCTTAAGCCATACCCTGAAATGTACCTTTTGCCTGGAATTTGTTGTGAAAAATAACAGAGCACTTCCTGATATGTCAGGGTGACTAGGCACGTCTGTGCTTACAGCCTCATAGCTGTGTATCTGCAGTGTGAGATCTAGGGCACTTCTGCCTCTGACTGCTAGTGTCAGGAGATTTGGAGTGAGATTTGAAGATGTCACTACTGTGCTGTTCACTGTTGTCCTTCTGGAGGAGCTGGTATGAGGAAGCAAAGCCCTGCCTCCATCATCAAGATGGTGGCCACCACACAGAGACACAGAGCAGAACATGGCATGGTAAGTCAGTAACAGGTAAGGTCAGCTACAAGGAGACTAGTTCTTTGCCCTCCTGTTTTTTTTTCCATTCCTCATTCATTTCAATCAGGTATGATTAGGTTGGGTTGTACTATGTCCTGTAGCAATGTGTTTTGAATTTGGAAAAAAATACATTTGTTTCAATGCAGGAAAGCCAGTCAGTAATCATAGACAGACAAGGCTGTGAATAGATAGTACTGTCAGTCCCACAAAGACCATTACTAAATCCAATTTTTGAATCTATTCACCTATGATTGATATCCTGTCTAAAGATGATTGCAAAACAAATAGGTTGCAGTTACAAGCCCATCTTTCTCATCTCTCCCGAGCTCTGTGCTCACAAATAGCCCACCAATACGTGAATAATCCTGGCTTTAGAGAGGGCTGACCCTATTTGCTGCCAGTATAAAGAAGCATTGATTAGCCTTCTTGTATCCAGCAAACAGCATGCAGAAAGTATGGATGTGGGATTAATAAAATGTAGACTCACTTTCTTGATTTCCCTGCAGTTTTAGAACTTCCTTTATTTGTTGAGATGTTGCTCCTCTCGCTCCCAGTTTTATCATTCCTAGAATCAAAGTAGCACCAAGTGGGGAAAAAATAATGTTCTCTTCGGTGTTAACTGAACGTATTGCCTGGTGCAGATCCACAGCAAATTCAGTAATAGTGTCTCCCCAGAGCCTTGGAGCCGCACTGGATACACTAACTCCAGCCAGAGTCACAGCAAACAGGAGTATAAGGGGTCTCTTCATTGTAATACAATTTCCAAGTACTCTTCTGGGATCTGAAAATGAAAGTGCACAGTTAAGAAAAAAAACAGCAAAGGTAGCTTCAGGATCTTCGCCAGTTTTACTTCCTCTGAAACACTTACTGAGTTTAAAGTAGATGTAAAACCCAAACTGAATGATATTAAAGTGTTACTAAACCCACAACAGTAAAATCAGTCTATATATGTAGTAAAGCATGCTTGTTATACTCACTGTGGAGCCTAAGGGGTTAATCCTCTGCATTGTGTAAAAAGGCTGTTTGTTCCTGTCTTCTCTAATCCTGCCCTTCTTCTACTGTCCCCAGTCCATCTGTTGATAGTACAGAGCTCTAGGAGTCACTCTGCACATTCTAAGTTTGGTGTGTATTGCTATAGATTGTTTTTTCTTGGGAGAGTGCATGTGATCAACACAGGGCCAATCAGCACTGTCCAGACAGAGGGTCCGGGGTTATGCAGCCTCAAAGGACAGTCAGAGCAGAATGAAAATTCCTCCTACAATCTTTAACCGGTGCTCAGCCAGACACTGATGGAATTCACAAGATTGCTATGTACTGCTGATGAAAAAAGGTATTTAGCAGTTTATATTTACTGAAATAAATGCATTTCCATGTTCTGTATACTGTGGGAGACCAGATATCATGAATGCAGGGCCCGGGTTTAGTAACGCTTTAAGTTTGGTAAAGCACTGTGGATCATACTCAACTGAAATGTTTAGTAAATAAAATGATTGTTTTTACAAATTTTCATCTAGTGTTGCATCTTAGTGCTGCTAGTCTCCTACAGCCACCTCTTGTCTACATGAATACATGCTAGCAGTGTTTCCTGATGAAGACGACAGTGAACCATACCTTCCTAAATTGTGTTCAAAATACACAGCCACCTGTAGTTTCTCCTTGAAACCTGTATGTAAGGGTAACAATACAGGGCAACTGGTGGACAGGGATAAAACATTGCCATCCTGTTTTTGAATTATTAACATTTTATTAAAAGTTGCAGACATAAAAAATTTAAAAAAGTACGCAAAGCCAAAAAAATACAACTATCTGATGTATGTATTGAAGAGAAAGGGGAGGAGCAAAGGAATCAAAAATCACATCAAGAGAGCAAAAATCCACTTTAAATTAAGCTAGATTAGACTCAAAGTGGAAATACTGTGTCTTCTACCATTAAAGCAGTATTAAACCCAAAAGGAAAACTTTTATTATGCTGCAGCTTACCAATTCTTAGGTGCGATGGTTGCTTTCTTTCGCTTATTTTTATCTGGCAATCTAGCCAGTAAGTCTGTTGTTTTTCAAAAGAACACACTCTTGCAAAGATGTAGCATTTACATTGTTGAGACAAACCATTTACCACTGACAGGGGTGCTTACACTAATCAGCTATATTTATTTATGTAATATCTTTATCCCAAAAGGGAAATAAATTGTTGTTGTAACTGCTTATCCCCATATCGGCACGGTACCACATAAATGCGCCATCCAGGAGTTTGGCTGTAAACCTGGGTGCCACATATGTTTGTGTTCCTGTGTTTGTGCTGGGAGCCCACCGCACAGTGTGTTCCCAGCACAGAGAATGGGCTCTCACTGAGATTCCCAGATTTTGTACTAATGATTGTGACCCTGGACTCCCTGTTCCTGGTCACCTGATCACTGTAATAGCCTCTGATTGGCTATCACAGTTGTCAGTTAATGTGCAGCCTGCCCCTGTGATTTCTTTCTCTTCTGAATGGAGAGAAAGATACATTGTATATTTCTCTCCTTGCAGGAGAGAAAGATGTAAGCAAGAAAAAGTGTGTATAAAAATAATTTACATTGTTTTAAAAATTAAGAAAAAGATATCTAAATTGAGGTTTGATCCGGGTCAGAGTCAGGGTTAGTGTTAGGGTCAAGTCAAAGGTCAGGGTCAGCATTATTTGGGTAGGATTTTAAAAAAAAAATGCATATTTTAAATTAGTGTTAGTGTTTTAGGTTGGATAAAAAAAGCAAAATGCACACAATTATTTTTGGGCCTTACTATGGGTACAGACAACAAATAACATACACATGTGGTATCGCTGCAATTGTCAGGAGCAGGGGTATTTATTTTGGTTGACTACTACTACTATTTTGGGCCAGTTTTTCCTTTGTTAATAAGAAAAAGCAGATATTGTTACCATTCACCACCAAATGAAAGCCCAATTTATCCTGTAACACAAAGTAGTTTCAATCATATGTACAGTTTTAATAACACATGCCAAAGTTGCAAGATTGGGTCTGGACATTAAGGTTTGTTTTGCCCTAGGTCAAGAAGGGGTGATAAAGTGTGACCTAGAGTTTGGCTTCAGTTTGTTAGTGTATCTAAATCTGCTAGTGCATCTAACAGTCCCCTCCCCACCAGAGTGAACATACTGCTGTCCAAAAGTGCTTCTTGTGCTCCTTCATCCAGAGTGTGGGCATTCTAATACAGGAGGTGTGTTACTGACCAGATGACCAAGTGAATACAGAGGGAAAAAAGCCTAATAAAAAAGAAAATGAATGCATCCACCATATCTAATGACTGAAAAGCTGCAATTAATTACATTTCTGGTTTTGGGTTTAATAATATTTATTAACATTAATGAGTCAACCAATTGTCTTCATTATTTGTGTTTGCATAGGTAACAAATCCAATTACTTTATGAGTGCAATTCATTCATAAGTGCAATCACTGCAAATTGTGTGTGCACTGTAGTGACCGTACCATGAACACTGATACAGATGCATCCATATTCATGATATGTGCTCTTTCATGTTGTCCCATAGACTACATCCTAGCCAATCTGGAACTATTTTGGTATGATTTATGTTTGGCAATGCGTGAATACATTACATGCTGTCTTCATTCACAATGTAATAAATAGGTACATGGCTACAACTGCTGTCAGTATGGTCACAACTGAGCGCAGTGCCAAAAATGTATACTTACTACTTACCCTTCAATATCAAGAAATTTTAAATATTCTAATGTAGAGGTAATATATATATATATATATATATATATATATATATATATACAGTTGTGTTCAAAATAATAGCAGTGTGTTTGAAAAAAGTGAATAAAGCTCAAAATCCTTCTAACAGCTTTTATTTCCATACACACAAATGCATTGGGAACACTACACATTCTATTCCAAATCAAAACATGAAGAAAAATATATCAAATTTGTGTTGTTCCTCTAAAAAAATTGAAGAAAAGTGAATATTAGACTGTTCAAAAAAATAGCAGTGTTTGTATTCTTCTTTACAAAATCAAACATTCACTACATAAACTGAAAAATATTTGAAGATTTTGCTTTCCTTTGAATCACTTAATATTTAGTTGTATGACCACTGTTTCTGAGAACTGCTGTATATCTGGGCTGCATGGAGTCAACCAACTTCTGGCACCTGTGAACAGGTATTCCACCCCAGGATGATTGGACTACATTCCACAGTTCTTCTCTATTTCTTGGTTTTGCCTCAGAAACTGCATTTTTGATGTCACCCCACAAGTTTTCTATTGGATTAAGATCTGGGGATTGGGCTGGCCACTCCATAACGTCAATCTTGTTGGTCTGGAACCAAGATGTTGCATGTTTACTGGTGTGTTTGGGGTCGTTGTTTTGTTGGAACACCCATTTCAAGGGCATTTCCTCTTCAGCAATAAGACAGCATGACCTCTTCAAGTATTCTGATGTATTCAAACTGATCCATGATCCCTGGTATGCGATAAATAGGCCCAACACCGTAGTATGAGAAACATCCCCATATCATGATGCTTGCGCAACCATGATTCTGTGGCTTGAATTCAGTGTTTGGGGGTCGTCTGACAAGCTGTCTCCGGCCACTAGACCCAAAAAGAACAATCTTACGTTCATCAGTCCACAAAATGTTGCGCCATTTCTCTTTAGGCCAGTCAATGTGCTCTTTGGCAAATTGTAACCTCTTCAGCACGTCTTTTTTTCAACAGTGGGACTTTGCGGGGGCTTCTTGCAGATAGCTTGGCTTCACATAGGCGTCTTCTAATTGTAACAGTACTCACGGGTAACTTTAGACCTTCTTTGATCTTCCTGGAGCTGATTGTTGGCTGAGTCCTTGCCATTTTGGCTATTCTTCTATTCATTTGAATGGTAGTTTTTCGCTTTCTTCCACGTCTTTCAGGTTTTGGTTGCCATTTTAAAGCATTTGCGATCATTTTAGCTGAGCAGCCTATCATTTTCCGCACTTCTTTAAATGTTTTCCCCTCTCCAATCAACTTTTTAATCAAGGTACGCTGTTCTTCTGAACAATGTCTGGAACTACCCATTTTCCTCAGAATTTCAGAGAGAAATGCACTGTAACCAGCATGTACAACATTTGCTGCCTTTCTTCCTTAAATAAGGGCAATAATTGCCACCTGTTTTTCAAAGAATGAATGACCTCACTAATAGAACTCCACACTGCTATTATTTTGAACATGCCCCTTTCAATTAGTGATTCAATGACACAGAATCAGCAGCATGCATGTCATGATTGTTGGGTCTGTTGGATTTCTATTACTCTACTACACCTGCTAGTAAATTATTTGCCATGTAGAAATATCATTTCTACCAAAAAACAGTGATTGATCAGGTTAGTGATGTCTGACTGCTATTATTTTGAACACAACTGTATATATAGTAAATGGAACATATATAACACATGCTTATTACCATTTGAAGAATATTAACAAACATATACAGCAATGCAAAGATTTTGGTGAAAAGCAAATATGGAAAACCTTATTTTACAATCATACCTTAGCCTAAACGTATGTACTCCTATGTCTGTACTGGTCAAAAGGCACTACATTATATTAAACTAATTTAAGCTTATTCAGTAGTATAGTGCAGCATCAAGAGCAATATTACTGTACACCCACAGAGACTAACCAAACGTCCATTAGATGACGTCAGATCAGTCAAAGGCAAATGCAGGTTGGCTGCTGTGGGTTATTTCACTTTGTATGTTGC